CGGTCGGTCAGGTCATTGACAACACCTAGTCAAGATGCGGTTGGTTGGTTGGTCGGTAGACACCCAGTCAAGGTGTCGTTGGTCGGTCAGTCGGCTCATAGGCAACACCCAGTCAAGTTGTGGCCGGTTGGTCAGTCGGTCGGATCCGCAACAAGACCCAATCAAGGTGTGGCCGATCAAGTACAGTCGGTTGCAATACCTAATGAAGGTGGTGCAAGTATGTAGGAAGAAAATCATGCAGCGGTCCTAGGATCATTGCTTTGATACCAAGATGAAAATAATATCAGAAAAAATATTAGACAAAGAGAGTTCTTGGGTCAATATCATAGTGTTTATTCTTCTTCAAAGGGAGGTCTACATATAGGGCATAAAGACTTCTCGTCCAAGTAAAGAATATTTTCTTACAAGGACAAAATTATACAACAAAACCTAATTACAATTGGTAATTAATTACAAATTAGTCAACGTATCAATCCTATCCTAGATAGGACTCACGGCAACACCAACTTCAATGCATCTTACAAATTAATTTGTAATACACATATCATAATATGAATGAATTGATAATACCATATAGTTATGTGAGACAATCACACTAACTAATTACTCTAATATATGAGTCTGTCCTATTATTGGATCCAATACTTATAGTTGTGCACCTAAGCTTGAAAGTAGATTGTATCCATATGGGAAATCTGCATCTCGCACTTCAAAGAACAAAAAATAAGTGTTCCTTGTGTGAGGGGGTTAGGAATAGTTGGTGTTTAGTATGGTAAGAGAAGAGTTAGAAATAAAATGAGAAGATTTTGATTTAGGAACAAAGTGTTTTATTAGATTGGCCGAGGAAGAGTACACATCTTGTTATAGGACTTTTGGGTATAGAAGTAGCTATATATTTAGAGCAACTTAGGAGGAGTTCGTACATAAGCATTTTCATATTTCAAGAAAGTAGACATTTAAGTAGGAAAAACCTATGTTGCACGAATACTCCAAACTGCTGGAGTGTCGAACACGCCGACACCGCTTCGAC